AGGTCTGCTCGATGCAGGCGTGATGGACCAGTTAACCCGCTGCCAAGGCTCAGAATTGCCGTCGTCCCATAATGCTACGATGTGTCCTCTTACGTCAAACGCACTCTTGAAGTGCGACAACATAGTTGATCTTCTCTTTGAACCATGGGATTACCTAGCTAGCACCGTTGAACCCGCAAACAAGGCTGCGCTGCTGTGTGTAGCCGCGGCGCGCGGGAATACAGCTCTGGTTCGGCAGCTACTTGAGTGCCATGGGTACGACCCAAATTCTAGATGTGGCCAAGTGTTCATTTGGGACGATCTTCCGACTGCTCTTTGCTGGGCTGTAGTTCGAGGTCACACCGAGGTGGTCCAGGTGCTCCTCGCTCACGGTGCAGAGGCATCTCCATCGCCGGGACGGATGCGTATGCGGAAGCCCTTAATCGAGGCCATTAAGCAGGGCTCGGAAGACATGATCTCCATGCTACTTAGCGCTGGGGCAGACCCCAATGACCAGGATGCACAGGACGGTTATCCAGCATTAAGACATGCCATCCCCTTCGAGGGCATATTCCGTCACCTGCTTGCCGCCGGGGCTGATCCTATCGCCGTAGACCGCCCAGGTGATACTTTACCCGCCATCGTTCTGGCATCAGGTCGCACTGCACTAGTCCAGATGCTGATCGATAAGGGAATCGATCTGCCGTGTCATATGGATCTGGCCAATTTTCTTCATCAAGCAATCCGCGGGGGGCCGGCTGTTCTCGATCTGCTCGTCCGAACGGGGAGATGGAATAGCTACATCTTCCCAGAACACTTGAACAAAACCGCCTGCGAGCAGGCCCTCGTAATCGCGGCCTCTACGGGGAAGATTGAAACACTTCAGTGGCTGCTAGACAGAGGCTTTTCGGTGGCCCAATTGTCGCCCACTGTCAACTTGATCGCTGAAGCAGCATGTACAGCTGCATCCGATGCAGACGCCGCCGAAACCATCGATCTGCTGCTTCAACACGGCCTGGACATAAACAAACGCATCCACGAACGAATTGGCCGTAAGACAGCATTGGCACACGTGGCCTATCACTACAATCTGCATACGGATAGCGACACCGGCCGCGTCCGCCTGCGCATGCTGGTCGATCGCGGCGCCCATCTCCTGCCACCGCGCAGCCCTTCCGAGCGATACAATCCTTATACATCCACTACCGCAGTTTGTGTTGGTGTGAGCTCTGTGTTGGATGAGATGATATTTCAGGAGATGGAGGCCCGGCGTGAGCCGTGGATAGCGGTGGAATGGCTCTTTAAGTACGCTGAGCTCGATGCGCGTGACCGCTGGGATTGGGAGGGAGTTAAGATGATAAAACGGTATTCGTGGAGGGTGCGGTATCCTGTACTTAGATAATTTGATAAAATACAGTACACTGTCACGGCCGCATTTGTTTCTTCTTCAGGTAGGACTACTAGTATTTCCTACGTCAAGGGGCCTATGAAATGGTTATAGAGACTATATGCACGGGATGCATTCAGCCGGATCTCACGCACTAGTGCTCTCCATCTTTTTTACTATCTACTAATCAGGCACATAGCCACTTTAAGGGTCACGACTCGATTAGTAGCTCAAGGGAGCATGAACATGCCTAGTGGCACAAAACCAGTGCTAAGATGTTACTATCTCAGAGGGGATATGTTTATGCTACTAATCACGGCCGTTGGGGGAAACCTCAGAAATAACAGAGAATAAAACTAGTAAGGAAAGGTAAAATTATAGTATAGTGACACACAATGGTCGAAGATGGTAGAAACGAAGCGTGCTTGCGACTAGTATCCTCAAGACTATGTATGATGCCCACTATAAACTCAACATTGTAACTATATCCAAATACTTGATAACAATCGTTCCTAGACAGTACTAAAGGAATTTGCTTATCCTGAGAAACCATATGAATCCAAGAGGTCAAGGAAATAATTGACTTAGACTACTATAACAACAACGGGACCGGCCTCTTTACCCAGTCCTCTGTAAGCTAGTCCTGCCACCTAAGGCGTAACGATATTGAGATTCGGATCACCCGGATCAAGCAACGACGCAAGAGTATCCAGCGCAGTAGTATCCCCATCAATCACAATACCAGCATTCACCAAAGCATCAGGATCAGATCCATACACAGCCAGCGCAGTCAACTGCTTAGCCGTTCCAGTCAGAGTGACTTGAGCAGCGTTCGACTGGTCAGCAGTGCTGTAGACGAGGGCCCCGTTAGACAGCCAGGAATGGTACGTCTTATTATCTTGATCCGAAACAACAAGATCTATAAGCACCTTCTTATCCCACGCCTCGGGCCCATTGATCTTGATAGCGAGAGTATCAAGGACCATATCCGGGGTAAGCTGACCCAGCACATCGGCCGCAGCTGTCTGCGTAGGCGTGCCGAAATTGCCATTGCGCAGCTCGGTCGTTCCGGAAATGTAGAAGTTCCTCCAGGTACCATTTTCAGAACCGTATCCGAGCTGCTCGTACACATCTGCTAGTTTCTTGCAGGCTTCCTCGTTGTTCGGGTTATTGAAGACGGCGTGATTTAGAAGCTCAGCTGCCCAGCGGTAGTCGCCTTTTAGGTATGCTTTGGTACCCTCTTCGAGAACCTTGTCCTCGCCGATGAGATCCACGTATCGGTTAGCCTTGTCGACGGGGGTGTGTTCCCACAAGTGGGCTGGGTTGCCGTCGAACCACCCGACATAGCGCTGGTAGATGGCTTTGACGTTGTGGCTTAGAGAGCCGTAGTAGCCGCGGCAATACCAAGATTGATCAAGAGCCGGGGGCAAGGTGAGCATTTCGGCGATCTCGGGGCCGTTGTATCCCTTGTTCAGGAGGCGGAGGGTCTGGTCATGCGCGTATGCGTACAGGTCGCGCTGGTAGGTGAGGAACTTCAGGATGTTGTCGTTGCCCCAAGTCGGCCAGTGGTGCTGGGCGAAGACGACCTCGGCTTGGCTGCCATATCGGTCGATGGTCTCTGTGAGGTACTTGGCCCAGGAGTGAGGGTCACGGACCACCGCACCACGCAGGGTCAGGATGTTGTGGAAAGTGTGAGTGGCGTCCTCGGCCGCGCAGAGTGCGTTGAGATCGGGGAACCAGATGAGCATTTCAGAAGGTGCTTCAGTGTCCGGTGCCATCTGGAATTCCATCTTAATGCCATCGACAGTCCTCTTTTCGCCCGTGCGTCTGACGGTCATGTTGGGTGCGATGAGGGTGACGACACCGGTCGAGGTAGTCTGTCCCAGTCCAGCGCCGATCTGGCCCCTTGGTCCTTGCTCAAGGGCAGCACCGTACATGTACGCGGCGCGGCGACTCATTGAAGTACCGGTGTAGACGTTCTCGGACACAGCATGCTCCAGGAAACCCTCTGGGGCAATGATCTTAATGTCGTTTTCCAAGACATCGTCTTCACTGACGAAGCCTTTGACACCGCCGAAGTGGTCAACGTGGGAATGAGTGTAGATGACAGCCTTGACGGCTCGGTCAGTGCCACGGTGCTTCTGGTAGAGTGCGAGTGCAGCAGCGCCGGTCTCTTGCGAAGTGAGGGGGTCAATGACAATGATGCCCTCGTCGCCCTCAATGATGGTCGTGTTGGAGAGGTCAAGCCCGCGCACTTGGTAGATAGGTCCGGCGACATGGTACAGTCCATTCATGCGAGTCAGTTGCGACTGGCGCCACAGACTTGGGTTGGCCGAGTATGGGGCGTCGTCCTTCAGGAAGTCGTAGGCATCGTTGTTCCACACCACATTGCCCTGAACATCAATGACCTGGTTGGGGTCACCGAGACTACCTCTCCAGCCCCGTTTAGCGTTCACAAAGACTTGAGTGTCATCGAAGGGCAGACTCTCTTTGACCTCCTTCCACTGCTTGACGATGTGTAGGCTTGGAGGGTTCGACTCCTCGGACTTGATGATCGACTGTGTCATGATGAAAATCAAACTAATGAGCTCGAAGCACCTGAGTTGAATTCAAGTAATAAGATTGATGTTCTGAGATTGCTGTTGTTGTTGTCGTTGATGGAGAGATTGATTTCACGGCTCCATCGACCCTTATTTATCTCTCCGGGAGGCGAATTTCCCCCTCATTTCGTATTGCCAAAACGGCGCGCATACAAACATTGACAACATCGACTCTGAAGTTTCGAATCCTTGCAACCCCGTCTTTGCTCTGTGAATGTAACCATGGCTCGTATACCAGGATGTTGAATAGAATGAAGATAAATTGAAGGAAGTAGATGGAACAGGCTTCCCTCCGATCTGACTGGTCAACAACTTCTGACTACCTGGACCAGGGTCCAACGCCGCCATTTAATTAGCCTGCATTAGCTTCGATCAACTTTTCAGCTCGGACTTCAGCTGAGGTGGAGATGCACCTGGCCATGTAACCCTTCATGTACGCCAAGAACACCCCCTTTTTTACGCGGTCGAATGGACGAAGCCACGATGATCAGGGTCCTGCAGCAGCTCATATTGGCTGTGCTCGGCTGTGTAGATCTGCACCCATTCGAGATGAAGGTTCGCCCCGAATGGTATAGCATCCATACATCGTTGGGATGACAGCAAGGGTTCCCCCCTTCCAGTCAACCAATTGGCTGGATCTTGTGTGTCATAGCAGAGTCCTGCTAGATGAAAACCTGCACGATCTCCGGAAGAAAAAGCAATTAAGATCACGTTGATGAGATGATGGATTCTAGTAGGTGATAAATCATGGTCGATATACCAATGCGACTCCGGTTTCGCCACTAGATAGGGACGCCAGCGTGGCCTCAGGATCGTGCTTGCGTCCTCAAACCTCGCACAAACTGTTTGCCTGTTACACAATCCCATCTCATAACGACGCCGGTAAATTGCCGCACTGGTCAGCTGGATCTTCAGTTTTCTTTTTCTTCTTGATCACACAGGATGTTAGTGGCATGTGGGTGGCGATGAAGTCCTTAAGCCTTCGACTTGATTAGGGCCACTCTCCCCCGTCTCACTCTTGTAAACCAGACACACCAGAATACCCATCAACAACATCTATTCAAGCCAAATCAACCCATCTAGCAAGCCTTTAGCATCAACGAGAAGAAAAGATGGCTGAAATGGACCAGCTCGACAGGTGAGCACACGTCCCATCCACCTCGGAATTCCGACCCGAGAGAAAAATAGATGCGGATTTGATCTGCTGTGTATCCGTAACCAACCCACGTATTAGACGGCATGCTTTCATTTTGTAGATACGCCTGCTAGACTATACTACCATGACCTATATACTGTGCTTTCATAACCTAAGTTCATCATGAAGATCCGCTAGATAATAAGTGAACATGTGAAACCACCCGACCACTCTGGTAATCACAACCGTCGAGTCTCCTTCAGTCGCAGCTCTACATCGCGTACAGCCGGCCACTGCGTCCCATTCTGCGTTCTTCTGATCATTTCCCAAAAGCTTACGTCGGGATCCCGATCTGTCGAAGACACGCGCTCCGCATCATCCTTCTGCATCTTATGCAACTCCAATTTGATCGCCTCCACCGCTATTCCTGCCCCGGCGTTGGAATTGATCATGCCCTCGTAATGCGGCCACTTGCGCAAGGCATCAACAGCTCGAAGACGGATGCCAAGGTCTGGACATTTCGATGCCACAGCAAATAGCCCAAAGCTCAGTCCGTAATCCAATGTGATAGTGGGGCGACAGGGAAACCTGTCCATGAATTCTTTGTATCCTGATAACAGATTGCTATATTCAAGAGTGAGCAATCTGTAGTCATACTCGTCGAGCAGGCACGTTTTCAGTACGATTGTCTTGGCAACCAATTGGAGCCTCACGATGTCCGCTCCTATTTGCTCTTTCGCGTTAAGAGTGGCATATTCTCGTTGGTAAAACAGTTCAAACCGCTCTGCAAGGTGCTCCAGTGAGGATAACAGCCTCTGTCGTTTGGCCCAGAGCGTTTCGTAGTTCGCTAGGATCTCTGTTTGTGGAAGTCTCCAAGCCGTGGCAATGAACGGGATCACCCTATACATGACTCGCTGAAAGCATTGTCGCGCTACTTTCAGACTTTCAAAGCCGTCTAAAAACTCAATATCACGTTCATTCTCCGCCTCGCCTGGAATGCCTGATTCTGACTCGAAGTCTCCGACATGTGACGACTGGGAATTCAAGACGCGGAGTGTTTCAGAAAGACAAGGAATTACTGGTATCCCAAGGCGTAGCGACTCCTCGAGAATTTGTGTGCCACTACGTAGATGTATGAAGGCTCTGGCGAATTCTCCCAACAGCAGCTCTGCCATGACGAAAAGAAGGCAGCACACTAGCACGACCTCGCGCAGCTGTGGGTCGGGAGAGGCCCGGCGCTTTTGCAAATGTGCGAAAGATCGGGCAGCCTGCTCAAGTGCAAATCGGTGTTTTGGATTCTGCAAATCCTCCCCAGCTAGTCGCATGCCTCTTTCCTCAGCATCTTGGTGAATTGCGCTCACCATGTTGACAGCATGGCATACCGCTGGATCGGAATGACACATCTGCAGGACCAGCTTCTGCCAGAGCCAGGAGTAAAAAAAGCCAACAAGGTCGGGGACAAGGCGGTATTGAGAAGTACGAAAAACCTCGTTTCTTATCGGATGTCATGATTCCTCCAGCGCCCATCCCTAGGGTCGGGAGACACAATTCCCGCTTGATGGGGAATCGGTGCAGATCGTATCCGTCGCAGGCTCGGCCTGTAGAAGTACAATTCCCAAAGGACCCCGGTGCCTCGTCGCATTTTATGCGCCGTACCCTAAGCTCAAGGTCAGACGTGGATTATCCATGGAGCGACACCACAACACTACTAACCGGCAGGTTCGACATCCCGTTCTAGATCTCTTCCCAGTATTTCTGCGTCGCTGTCTACTTTCAGTTCGCACAATCAGCTCTCCAGGCATTGTGAACGAACTAGCGAGCGGACATGAATTGTGCGGAGTTATAGCGTGGCATTTTTATAAGTAAGGAATGATCACGCCAATACGAGGGGAGACGCGAATAGCGTCTGGCCAGGGCATTGGACCAATTATGACGCCGTTTCAGAGGCGCAACTTTCAGCCCCCAACATCCCCTGTCACCGCGTTCAGGAGCCTCACTGAAGGAGGTGCCAAGTTGCAAAGCGTCGTTGTTATAGTTGAGTGTCACTTGATGTATGAATAATCTTTCTATGATATTGAAGAATAACCTGCATGGAGGTGAATAAACCTGCACGCCACGCCAACGGGCCATCGGCGATCCATCCAAGTCCAAAAGCATGCTGCATTTGTGGGGATGCGCTGTCGAAAGTTCAACTACCTGACTTTATCGCTATTCGTTCAATACCAGGTTCAGTGCTAGAATGTGTCAAACAGTTTGATACGAAAATCATGAGCTATTTAGAGCTACCAAGGCAGCCTGTAAACAGACTCAGACGACAACATGCTAGAAATTTGGAAGAGGACATACAACACAATGACCTGCGAGTGACAGCTCCATAAATTGGGGATTATCTAAACTATTGATGATGTGAATGGTTTCTTTTGCCCCGCAACGATTGGAAAGATCGAGGGATAGAGAGAGAGAAGTAGCACAAAAGGAATACCATCGATATCACCTGACCGGGCTGAATGTAAAATATAAAGCACAATACTCCGGACACACTTCTTAAAATAACCACGCAGATCAAACAGCCACCGCGTCTCATGTATGTTTAATTGATTGTAAATCAGTTCCACATGATAAAACTGAATCATACACCATGGCAATTCTCTTGTCTCATTCCTAACTCGTCCTGAACACCAAATCGGGTATTCCGGAAGCTTCATGTGCGGGGTAGCGCTGGTGAGCACTAGTACAGGATGTCTACCCCATGGCAGGTGTGATATACCTGGTATACTATAGGATGGACTCTTTAACGGTCATGCAGCTGAGAAATCAATCAGATTGTTTCACGTGCACGGTTGCACAGTCAAAGTTGGTATCCAAGTCCCACCATTGCTGGCCCAGAAAATCTGGAAATCCGGTTCAGGGACACTGCGCGGATGAGGATTTACCCAGCCAGGTAGAGTGTGGCAAACCAGATTAAACCACTGGAAATTCAACCGTGACACCGTCAAAAATAGAACAAGACATCCAATGATTGAAAAAGTGCTTGAGGGGGTTGCTGGAAAAATCTTTGGAGGGACATCTCAAGGACCCCTTTGATGGATGAAGTAAGGGATGCGATTGCCCGAGCGTGACCAAGACGGTACTGTGGTATTTGCAATACACAAGGCAACACCATTTGGCGGTCTCGGATTGGCCGCCCAGCTCAGCCCTACGGAGGAAATCCACCCACCCCCGGGGAGGCAAGCGACCCAATCAGGGACCCTTCTCCAGACGACTCTATTTATGACCTGCACAATTATTGCGTCTCATCCCTGCGCCCCAAATGTTGGGCCAGTGCAACTAGTTCACAGCATGCCACCACCACGTCATTACCCGAAATAGCCACCGCTCTCCCAGTGTGAAAGGCAGCGCCAGCGGTCGGTGAAATGCCCATCCCAACCCCTCCCGCAACTGCAGTTCCACCACCCGTCTCCAGTCCACATGATGTGCAAAATGAAGCGGGAAATGATGCTGGCTGATCGACTTGATGGTGCAGTCCATGTTAGGGTGCTCCTGAAGGTCTACCTGTGGCTGTAGCAGAGCTGGATGGTCACCCTCCAGGTCTAATTCCACTTTCAGGGATCCCGTGCTTTTAAATTGCCGTACCTGCACCGCCAAATCATGGTTCCGGTGGTGAGAATCTCCCGAGTCCTTATCATGAACAATCGTAAGGTCGATGAGAGGGTGTCCTGAGCTTTCGATAAGGTGATGGTGGGTGGGATGCGGTGCCAGATTAACTTGAAACTGGCCCTCAACAATCAGGTTTGGCGACGAGGGTTTCTGGTGCACAAGCACTTTTGTAAACCGTAAAGGAAGGTCGATCAAAGCCAAAGATTGAATCACTACTTTCTGCGGAGTTGTTCCGTTCTCAGTAATGGCCCGTCGCGCCAACCCGTTGTTCACGTAGCGCACAATATGGTCGCAAATCTGAGTCTGGTACATGTGCCAGAATCGTTGTAGTACACCATTTACCCATTCCACAGTCTCCCCGCGGGAGAGGATTTTATGTGCGTGGTATCGCTTGCATTCATCGCGAAGGATGCGCTGAACTCGGGTCAAGTTAACGACCGCATAAGTCCGACATACCGCCAGGACGAAGAACAACCATGTTAATCCCAAGTCGAGACGGCCAACGATCCAAGATATGAGGCAAACGAAGACTATGATGCGGGAGTCATCGTAGGTTTGTTGAATAAGTTCGACCAGGTCGAAGGGTTCCGGTGTCAGCTTAGGCTTACCCATAGCGGCAGGAACCAAAGAGCGACAGTGTTGTTGGTGGTAGTGTGAGTGGAAAGATAATTCGAAGTAGGGTTGTGTTGTTCAGGGTAGAGTAGCTAATGTAAATAATGAGGCTGATCCGGGGGACTCCATGGTCAGCCCAACTAACATGATGAAATGGTGTGGATGAAGAGCGGTGATGATGACGGAGAGGACTGGGGCCTTTATACCGACCGCACAGGGCTGCTGCCTCTGTTCATGCAAGCAAAGCCACCGCTGACTACGGAGAGGATTGTCGATTTGGGGGCCTATCGCAAAAAGTGATGCGGGTAATGCAAAAACCGATCGTGGGTGGGACTGTGTAACAATGTCATACTAATATTACGTAGTAATTTATGTTTAACTAAACACTCCTGGTTTCCTCCTCTCTTTCCCCCTCAACAACCACAACCATCAAGTACTGTATTTGCTTACTCTTCTACTCTCCCTTCCCTCTCATGCCCACTTCCCAATAAGGGCCATGATGCCGGCTCCTAGCAATACGCAGAAGATCATTCCCAGCAGATGCGACCGCCGCTTCGTCCGGTCGGGGTCGAACAGGAAATCGCGAGCCAACAATTCCACTAATCCGCTGTAGATCAGAATGCCGGCTGATACAGCATCCAATACTCCTTGAACAATATTTGCTGTCTTGGATCCCGAGTTATATGTCGTCCGCAGCCCGATTCCGATGGCAATCGAAATGGGCGTGGTGAGGCCGTACGCCATGCAGAGAACCCACGGTAGCCACCAATGCCGGCCAAAACGCAGGGCAGACATCCGGGCGCCGATCCCAAGACCCTCAAACGCTTGGTGGAAGACCAACACGGGGTATAGAGTGCTGAATTCGTCACCAGTCACGCCTAAGTTCAATCCAATTATTACCGAATGGAAGATAATGCCGAATTCCAGAATAAGAAAGGCAGCGATATCTTTGCGGAATGAGCGCTCCGATTCGACGGCGCAAATGTCATCTTGAGCCCCAGGCTGCTTAGATCCCCCAGCGTCGTCGTTTACTGTACTCTCATCGTCGCTCTGGATCAAGTTTGCTTGGACTAGGAATCGGTCGGTCGCGTCGTGCTCTTTTTCCACGCCATATACGCGTTCGACGTATACCTCGGAGGCAAGGTCCATCAGAAATACCACCATAACAGATGTGAGGACAATGGCAGGACACCAAGGATACTCCGCCCAATGATTTGATACGCCGACACAGGTTGTGCTGCCGATACTTTCATACGCTGGATCCAAGAGGTGGATGAATGCGGTGGCGACAATAACACCCGTACCGAAGTATCGAGCGAAGAGGTAGACAGGGTAGGGGATATTCCAACATGGTATTCTCTTGCATACCACGGGGAAAAGTGTAGATGCTGATGATGTTATTAGCATCACAAATATCGCGGATATGCGTGCCCCTAGATGCCCGTTGTAGTCATTTTCGGACAACTGCAAATAGCAGTAGATGTCCTCCAAGCTGGCAGTGTCTAAGTTTACATCTGTTGGATCGAACGAAGACATGGTGTTTAGGATACATATTGCCTTCTACTTCATACTTGGATGAGTGGTCATTATATTCTATCTGAATGACAGAGTACCTTGGGGGATTGTCATAAGATCTTGGCCTGGCCACAGGGTCCCTAGCCCTGCACTATGTTCTGACGTTGGTGGCAGACCCTTGCATGTGGCGCACCTTACCCCCAAGGTTGAGGCTGACAGCCAGTGAATCCTCAGTTCTTTGCAGCCTTTTGCTCTGGAGCTTCTAATACGCTGGTCTGATACGCTTGCTTAGAAGATGCGAAGGATCTAAGACTAGTTACCACTGCAGCTGCCTGAGGAGTCCACGGAAATACAACGGCAATATAAATCAGCCAGGAAGAGTGCTGAATGGCTGGCATTCACCTCATAGTGCCATAGTCATTCGAGATAGTCGCAACATTGACATTGCGTGCTGAGAGAAAATCGAACACCTATGAGGTTAGAAAGCCAGCTACGCCATTAGTAAGTTCGAATTCAGGACACCTCGGGTATCTACGACATCAAAGAATGTGCTCTGAGCTTTACCCATGATCTTCCCGCTTCGTATCTGACTCAATTGAGTGAATGTTGTGTCACCGAGCGAATTATTCTGATCTTCGGCCATATCAATTAGCTACATCCCTTCTATCCCGCGCTCACACCGTTTGGCAATATGCGAAGCGTCTATCGTCGATGCCGGACCAGTGTTACCGGATGCGGTGCTGCCATGGTGCATCCATCTTTTCGTGTATTTTTCCGCCAATGATAACGAGCATAACAAGACATCCGACTATTGACTGCAAGTCTAGCCATGACGGACATTTGCGACTCCTACATTTGTCAGCAAATAAATTGCATGATCATCAGGGTGTTAGTTTCCTCGGCATAGTGTTCGCGTTCACATAGACTGGGCCTTGGATATTGGCTTCCTGCCTCTTTCTGACGAACAGCTCTTGGGGTCAAAATGGTCCCATTCCCACTACATCAAGCAGCGGCGGCAAATGTGCTGGGTGAGACACGGCTCAGTAATCTGGAGCACCAAATACCACCCTCTCGCCAATGCCATTGCCAGATGATACCACAACCTATGCCCTCGCGCCATCAACTTCCACGACTTAATTTGAGGTGCGGGTTGGATATGAAGACTGGTCGGAGACCAATGGGTATTCTTCTCGGTGGGGCAGAGCTTAATATCACTTTCGACCGACAAGCTTATTTCGCCCCTTAGAGCCGGTTGTGACGTCTGATTTCAGAAGTCGGTTTGTTTAGCAGTATGGCCTGATTGATCACCACGATTCAGGCACTGTCTCCTTTGAGTAGGGCCCAGAATCGGGATGTGGATATTGCACTCGTCATCCCGCGTTGTTTAATCTGGCCGATGCAGAAGAAACGGGGCGCGCTTTGCTCCCCGCAGCACGCGGCACATTGAAAATTGAAAATATAGAATCATATATTATGGCGCTTTGAGCCAGTAGTAATCTGGATAAGCTTGAATAGGAGTTCATGACGATCTGCTAGGGTCAATTAAGTGTGGGGCTTGAGGCCTGGCACAGTGGAACCTCTCATCCTGACGATCACTAGGTTATCTTCCCACTGCCACCGAATGTGCCAATCATGATCCCCTCGGGGAAGAATTGAATTGAGGATCGTCAGTGTCTCAGACGAGCTGGAGACTGTGCGTGGGTCATAAAGTGCCGGGTTAGACTTAACAGTCTTGACTCGCGGGACAAGGGCTCAAACCGTTGCACGATCGGCGGGCGGGAGAAAAGCATCCAGAAAGATGACTCTGGTTTTGTCCCGTCCGAGAGTTTCACCATGCGATCCATGATCAATCTGCGACACACTCCGCCATGATTGACATGGCTGTTTCCATGTTCGCGCCAACTTGCCGTGCACACATGGCAGCCAAGCCCAAACCCTCTATGGCAGGTTCTTCGAGCATCCAACTATTAAACTACCTCTCGACTCAGCTTTGATCCAGCTTCCATCACCAAGCCAATTCACATTCTTTACATTCGTTTTCTTAGAACTGCTGGTTCAGTCATTCCTTTCATATCCACAACTTCGATTTCTGAGGCTCGTTGCAATGACTCTCCTCCGTCATCTCCTGACGGCAACTGCCTTGCTTGGAGCTTCGGTCCAGGCAGCGCAGGGTGTCACTGGCTCCCCCTTCGGTTTCGCTAGCGGCACGACTGGTGGTGGTGATGCCACTCCTGCTGCGCCTAGCGACATCAGCCAGCTGAAGACCTGGTTGTCCGACAGCACCCCCCGCGTCATCCTTATTGACAAGGAGTTCAACTTCCTCGGCAGCGAGGGCAAGTGCACCAACTGCGAGTGCTGCAAGCCCGCCTCGAACACCTGCGGCAGCTCTGGCCAGAATGCCGTCAAACAAAATGGCTCCGACTGGTGCGGTAGCTACCCGACCCTGACCTGCACGTACGACAACGCCGGTATCGAGGGTCTGGAAGTTGCCTCCAACAAGTCCATTGTTGGCGTGGGTAGCTCTGGTGTCCTGCGTGGAAAGGGTCTGCGCCTGGTGAACGGTGTCAGCAACATCATCATTCAGAACATCCACATCACCGAGCTCAACCCCGAGTTCATCTGGGGTGGTGACGCTATCACCCTCGACGGCACCAACAATGTCTGGATTGACCACGTCAAGATCAACCTCATTGGTCGCCAGATGTTCGTTGCCGGATACGAAGCCAGTAGGTTTTGCATTATCAAATGCACATTATTTTGGATTCGAAACTGACAGTGCGCAGGTCACAGCGTGACTATCTCGAACAGCGAATTTGATGGTGAGACCAGCTGGTCTGCCACTTGCGACGGCCACCACTACTGGACTGTGTGGGTCTCATGTCTCCCCAAGTGCTCTTCCATTATTACAGCTTTCTAACAATATTCTAGTCTCGGATACGGCCACAACGACAAGATCACCTTCGCCAACAACTACATCCACCACACTTCGGGCCGTTCCCCCAAGCTTGAGTTCAACAGCTTCTGGCACGCGTACAACAACTACTGGTTCAACAACACCGGCCATGCCTTTGATGTTGGCAAGAACACCCGTGCTCTGATCGAGGGTAATGTAATGGTCCAGGTCGACACTCCTCTCTTGGCCGACAGCAACCCTGGTGCCGTTTTCGCCGTGAACACCAGCGATGTCTCCACTTGCACCAGCACCCTCGGACGCACCTGCGTCCCCAACACCTTGATTAGCTCGGGTACTCTCTCCGGCAGTGACAGCTCTGTGATCAGCAGCTGGCCCTCTGGTGAGTCCGACGTCACCGTCATGGCTGCTAGCAAGGTGGCTTCCTACGTCAAGGCCAACGCCGGTATTGGTAAGCTTAGCAACGGATCTGGCTCCTCCAGCACCGTCGGTGCGGCTGCCACCTCCGCTGTCGCCAAGCGTGCCGACTCTGACGATGCGCCCTATGTTCCGGCCTACTCTGAGGCTGGCCCCGGCGCTTCTGCTGTCCCCAGCCAGCCCTCCTGGTCTTGGAGAACGGTCACCAACGGCCCTGCTCCCACTGGAGCTCCCTCTGATGCCCCCGCCCCCGCCCCCAAGGGTCTTGGTGCTCCTGTCCAGGCTTCAAACAAGCACCACCACAAGGGACACGGCCGTGGCTATTAAGGAGGGTTTGCGGGACCGCTTCTGAGCTGATAGGCTGAAAATGAAGCAAGCTA